TCAAACCAGATTTTCAAGCAGTCATACACAGATTTACATTTAGGCATTCAAACCTGACTTACAATTAGACAATCAAACCAGATTTACAATTATGTATTCAAAACTGATTTACAGGTAAGCATCTATAGTAGATTTACAAGAAGGCATTCAAACCAGATTTACTAGTAGGCATGCAAACCTGATTTACAATTAGCCATTCAAACCAGATTTACAAATAGGCATTCAAATCTGACTTACAATTAGGCAGACCGGATAAATAGTATCTAACTGTTTGGATGCCACATATCCTTTAATGGAATGACATTTTATTATTCCTTTTTTTCTGTGTCTAAAAACAAGAATAGAAACTTCAGGTTGATGGTCACAGTTTCACTTATTTTGACATTCATTTTACCCCAGGGACTACAGTGCCTTGCGAGAACATTTCCGTGCAGATCATTATCTCTGTGAAGAAGGAGGATGCCAAGAAGAGCAGTTTACGTCAGTATTTCGCACCAAACTTGATCTCCAAGGTATTGGATTGATGTCATTATTTTAATGATTGTTTTCTTGGTGTTGGTGTATAACTTGTAAAAAAGATCTGAAACAACCCAGTAAGACATTCATATGATGAAAGGTATAGTAAGATAAAACTGGTATTGATTTTTTTTTTTTTTTCATGTATGATTCTTTTCTAAGTGAATAGTTGTAGAGACTAAGGAGTAGGTACATCCTTTGCTTTTCATATGATCATGTATTCATTAGTAACTCTTCCATGTGAGGCCTTGATGTCAGCCTGGTTTACCATTATTTTTTTTTAAGACATGGCATAGCAGTCTGAGGTGAATGATGATCTGTTAGAGCTCCTATAATTTTTTGCATTAATTTTTTGTTATTCATCAGATACAGTCTTATTTGTACTTTGCTATCATAGTGAAATAGTATGACTAAAATTACCAGAGACTAGGAGGTAGAATTTGAAATTGAAATGTGTCAAATACACCTCTTGTGCCATAAGGTTATATATTTTTATTGATACCTTTTTTGCACATTTGTAGGAGTAGATTAAGTCCCTACGTAAGCCTCTAACAGCAAATATCATAAATAACTGAACTAAACATTGTATAAATTATGTTCTAGCTCACATGGCACAGAACCATTCATCGAATTTGAGCAAGCAAGCTGCCCGACAGGCCCGTACGCTGGACATAGAGTTTACGTTGAACCACCGGCAGCAAGACAGCGGCCGCCACGATGAGAGGGGGATGAGGGGAGGCAGAGGAGGCCGAGATGGACGAGGGAGAGGAGGGAGGTAAGAGCACTCCTGTTGGTATTGCTATGGGGAAAGATAGGTAGATAGGCAGAGAGATAGATAGGCAGACAGATAGATATATGAATAGCTAGATGCAGCAAGGACTACATATTAATTTGTTAAGGTTTTGTGGATGCTTATCTATTTTTATGATTGAGGCATGATTTTTTTTTTTTTTTTTTTTATAAATTTAATTTCTGATGATGGCAGTCTTCAAAAGTCTTATGAAGAAGTTTATACAACTTTGAGTATATATGAAGTTTGAGTGTGTCATATGAAAAGATGTAATTAATGTGGAATTTATTGAAGTAAGAAAGGCATTTGATATTTACAGTCTAATTTGATGCATTCCAGACGAGATCGAGACAGAGATCGAGACTTTGAGGAACAGCAGTTGCCTGACGAAATGGACAGCAGACCTCCTGTGACGCAACATTCCATTGATATCAACTGTGTGCAAGATTTCCCTTCCCTGAATGGCACTGGACCAGGGTCAGGGGGGGATGCTGGAGGGGGAGGGGGAAACAGGTCCATGGCAGCGCATTTAGCCAAACAGAATCGATTTACAGTAAGAGCCTCGGGTGGCAGGGGTAGGAGTGTGTTAGATGAAGAATTTCCTTCTTTAGGGTCAACAAGTGTCACAGTTAGTACAGCTCAGGCCACTGCTCAGTCCCCAACATCTCCCACCACCTCTGTGCATCTTAAGGTAAATACGAAAAAAGCTGTGAGGGATGGCCAAAATGCAGGCCAGAGGAGCAGTAATGTTTCGATACAGTACAATCGCACTGTCCCTGCTGCGGCAAATGGGCTCCAGGGTTCAGGTGCAGAAGGCGAGAGTGGCAGTGGTGGAGGGCCTCGCATTGGTGTTATTTCACATAGCAGTAATATTACTCTTCGAAGCAAAGCTAATAACAAGGCCAAAAGCAAAGGGTTGGAGGAAGATTTCCCAGCTCTTTCTGTTTCTACAAAAACGACAAATGCTGGCATGGGGTCGAGTGGCTGGGGGTCAACAGCAGCAGCACCAGCTCCCAGTATGCCAGCCAGTGTACCAGTTAATATTTCCAAAAATATGAAAAAAGATTTTCCAGCTTTAGGGCCATCAGCTGGGGCGCCTTCTGTCGCACCTCCTTCAAAACCTGGAAAGAAATTAAATCCAAAAGATTTCCCTTCTTTAGCACCAAATCCTGACAGTCAGACCCACATGAAAAA